AACTCCATGCTTGCAGAAGAAGCTGCCTAGTCTTTAAGCATGTGAATAGCTATTGCCTTATTTTTCTTGGGAAGATGCCAAAAAATGCCCCCTCACTCCATATAGGGCAGTGGCAGGCAGAGAAGCCATTCCAACCAGGTCCAGCCTGGTGACAAAGGAGTGTGCTGGGAATACTCAGAGCATCCCGCCTGAAGGGTTACTTAACAGGAATATGGATGGCTTGGGAAGCTTCACGTCCAAAACACCCAGCATAGGCAGTGTCTCACCAAAGCTGCATCATTGGAGTTCCCTGCATTGTGGAAGAATCTCATTCCTTCTAGCAAATTTACTGCTTGATTAACCTCAGGAAGAGGGTTTGGTGGGCCTTCTACATTTCTTTAAAACATTTTTTAAAATTTTAATTTTGTTTTATGTGTATTAGTGTTTTCTCTGCGTATATGTAAGTGTACCACATGTGTGCAGTGCTCACAGAGGCCAAGCGAGGGCCTGGGATCTGCTGGAACTGGAATTTCAAACAGCTGTTAGCTTCCATGTGGGTGCTGGGAATTGAAGCCAGATGGTGCAAGAGCAGCCAGTCTCTTAACCACTGAGCCATCTCTCCAGCTCCAAGCTTCCTAAGCTTCTTGGGAGACTCATGAGTTTCCTGCACCTTCCCCATTCCTCCACGAGGCTACGTGTTTCAATTCAGAGGAAACACAACACTAGAAGGTAGGCATCCTCACTTTGGCATCTCTAACTAGTTGACTTAAAAAGAAGGGGCCTGGGGCTGGGGAGATGGCTCAGCAGGCAAGAGTACTCACAGCTCTTGCACAGGATCTGAGTTCACTTCTTAGTACCCAGCTCAGGCAGTTCAACTGTCTGTAACTTCAGCTCTAGGGGACCTGATGCCCTCTTCTTTCCTCCACTGGTACCTGCACTTGTGTGCACATACACACAGGCACACACATAAATAAAAGTTTTAAAATATCTTTTTGAAAAGATAGTGACTGCAGATGCTTTTAAAAAGTCAGTGAGGGGCTGGAATGATTCAGTGGTTAAGAGCACTGACTGCTCTTGAAGAGGACCCAGGTTCAAATCCCAGCACCCACATGGTGGCTAACACCCATCTGTAACTCCAGTTCTAGGAGATCCAATGTTCTCTTCTGACATCCACAGACATTTCACAACACAGGTGTAATTACTTACTTGCAGGCATAACACTTATACACATAAAATAAAAATAATAAAATATTGAAAGAGAAAAGTCACTTAAAGTTGAGGGTCCTCCAGGAAAATATATAGAGGGCCAGGAGTATGGGTGTGCACATATATGTGCATACACATAACACATGGACAATTACTGATTACTTTGGGGTGAGCTACTGAGTAACCCTGATCCTCAGCTTGGAATTTTCCTTCTCTGGAAGCTGCACTTGGAAAAATTTCATCTACATGGGACCACAATGCCTTCAGCCAGAGACATACCTTCAGAGGAACACAGAGCCACATACCAAACAGTGACCTCCACATTTAGATGCACTTTAAAAGAATTATTATTTTTATTTTATGTGTATGCATGTATTGCCTGCATGTAGGTAAGTGCGCCCGTGTCATTCAATGCCCGTGGAGGTCAGAAGAGGCTGTCAGATCCCCTGGGAATGGAACTATGGACAGTTGTTAGCTGCCATGTGGGTACTGGGATTCAAACCAGGGTCTTCTGCAAGAACAACCAGTGTTCTTAACCTCTGAGCCATCTCTCCAGCCCCTAGACACACTTTTTATTGTTTTCTTTTTACTCCCGGTTCAAACACTTAATACACATAACACATGTGCATACACGTGTGCCCAGCATTCACTACTTAGCTCATCAGGCAAAGAAATACAGTATTACATACTGTTAACAAAAGTGGCACTGAGTCGCCGGGCATGGTGGCACACACCTTTAATCCCAGCACTCGGTAGGCAGAGGCAGGTGGATCTCTGTGAGTTCAAGGCCAGCCTGGTCTACATAGTTCCAGGCCAGCTGGGGCTACAGGGAGACCCTGCCTCAAAAAGACCAAAAAAAAAAGTGACACTGACTCCAACAACCCCCACCCCCAACATAAAACCACATATATAAAAGTACCTGCCATCACATGGAGATGCACCTAGTCCTCTTCACACAGAATCTCCTACTTACTCAGCTGTTTAAAGTGCAGAGAATAAAGGAGGTGTCATTACGTGCTACACCTAAGTGCTAAAGGCTGTAAGGGAGACGAGATACCCCTGGCACCAAGACATGGATCTCAGGTAAACAAAGGGATGACAATACATTGTCTTTTCAGTTTTTTTTTTTTTGGCTGAAGGAAATCAAAGGCCCCACCCAAACCAAGGGGAGGAAGTTGTACATTGATATGTCTTCACTGGTGATCACTTTAATGAACCTGTCCCACTCCAGCAAGCCCCAAACACTTACCTGACCTGCTGGTTGCATGCATCTTTCATTTTCTTTTCACTGATTTATGTTGGCTCCAAGAATAATAAATTTGATGAATGAGTATGGTGTTCTCATGTAGTAGAGCTGTTTCACCAAGGATTTGCTGGCAGAACTGAGAACCCTTCCTGAAACTGCCAAATTTAAAAGGTCCCATATGGAAAGAATGTAAGAGCCGGAGGAAGGGGTGCAGTGTCACCTGGAAATGTCCTCCAACCACCATGCTGACAAGCTATAGTCACACTTCCTTCCCACGCTCATCAAGGAGTTGAGGGGGGAGTCAGTTACCCCTCCCACCCAGTCAGTTGACCTTAGCTGAATGTGGGGGGAGGGGCAAAGGATATATAAACCTAGAACACCAAGAGGCACCTCTCTCACCATCTTGTGCAGCTGTCAGGAGGTCCCATGGACTTTACCATGCAGCCATAAATGTGGGGCTCCCACTCTTCTGTAAATAAACCCCTACCCTATGCTCTGTTAAAAATAATAAAATATTTAAAAAATAATAAAAAAATAAAAGGTCCCATAATGGGGCTGGAGAAATGGCCCAGTGGTTAAGAGAACTTGTTACACCTGCAGAGGATTTGAGTTTGGGTCTCAGGACATGTCGAGCAGCTCACAACTGCCTGTAACTTGGCTCCAGGGGATCTGATGCCCACTCTGGCCTCCTCAGCTCAGGCAACCTGACACACGTGGCACCCAACAGACACACACACACACACACACACACACACATATATATGTATATATATAACCTTTAAAATATCTCTAATAAGGGCCAGGAGCGGTGACACATTTTAATCCCAGCACTCAGGAGGCAGAGGCAGGCAGATCTGTGTGAGTTCAAGGCCAGCCTGGTCTACATAGTGATTTCCAGGTCAAGTGTGGCTTCAGGGAGACCCCATCTCAAAAAGACCAAAAAATATCTTTAATAAGGTAAGATCTGTGTGTGTGTGTGTGTGTGTGTGTGTGTGTGTGTGTGTGTGTG